TGCAAGCAACCACAATTAACTTTATAAGAAACTCCAAGTATCCTATTGAACTTTGAATTTCTTGAGATCCTTAGCTGAATTAGCAATAAATCACTGATAAGAAGAACATCAAAAGGACACATTTGTGACTGAATTTATTTTGCATCAAATATAGAAGAAATGCTAAAATGGTAACAAAGTGCAATCTGTTGCACTACACAAGTTTGAAATACAGCACTTAGTATTTGTCAACATATCAGAATTGAGATAAACTGGTAAGATTTCTTGTTTTATCAGCGATGAGATAAATCACACATAGGTCGGACAGGTTCTCCATCCAAAGCAAGTCACACGTGCAAAGCAAGCACTAACTCTCCTAGCAGCTTCAGTGGCGGCGTGTATGGGATCACAATGTTACAGCCAAACCCCCAGGTTTTGAGAAAGAAATAACCTGGTTAAATACAAATCCCTGAAGGCAGCTTGTGTGTGACTGGTAACTAGTTAAAAAAGGAAATGTTACTTATTCAAAATACACATTTTAAAAGTTACAGCAGACCTTAAACTACCCTTGCATTAAATAGAAAGGTAGTGGAAGAATAACTGGCTAAGTGATAACAAGGAACAAAAAGCAAGAGGCGAAGTGAGAGATGATGTTGAAGAACAGACTGAAGGAGAAACAAGGAACTGAAAAACATTAAATTGTGCATCTACTTCCAGGAAAAAGCAGCAGTTCCTTATATCTTCCCCCCACCAGCTACAATACACTGTCGTTCCTGAAACAGGTTTTTTACCAGGTAGATCTCTTACCTATTTTATTTAAGCCTGAGAAATCACTCAGTGGATTTTGGGAATTACAGGAGAACACTAAACTACGATTTACCTCTGAAAGTTTTTACAAAACTTCCCTACATAGTTATAACTACTTAACCTCTCAAGGTGTTGAGCAACACTGGAACTTATTTTTGTAGCTGAACTGCTGGTTGGTGCTTACATGCTGACAAGGGATAAGTACTGTAGAACAGACACCAGCCAAGTGGTACTGAAATTACTTATAGCCTGAACAGTCTCGGGCGCACAGTATTAGTAGCGCAGATGAACCAAAGCAAGCAGTGGGAGATTTTTGCAACATTTCCTGCAACGTAGGTATGCTTAATGTCTCACCTACTGTATTGTCTTCAGCTTTGCTTATTTCCTTCTGCAATTTCTGACAGAACCTGCTTTTCATTCAAGCTAAGATCTGCATATGAATGGAAAATCATCAGCTATCAACAAGCATCAATAGCACTTACAATTAAAATAAGTGTTCAGTTGCAAGTTATGATCAGAATACGTTGTGTGCAATGCCCTTCCAGAAACTGCAGTAAAGAAGAATAACCAGATTTTAGTTTCATTCTCAGAAAGAGAGCTACCGCATTTCTAAGAGGTTACATTCAACGCTACTTAAGAACAGCTCTGCTGACATTTGGATTAGCTGTACTGACAAGAATGCCAGTGAATATGATTGTCAATGGGGATGTTTCTCAATAATCTGTAGTTTCTTCTACAAATGACAGTACTTACGCTCCCATATTAAAAAGAAAATGTCATTTGGTCTATTACAAACTAAGACATGTACACAATTTTTTTCAAATGACTGATTACTCCAAGATGCCCTCAGTTCTCCCAATAGCGTAGGTGAAAGGCTACTCTGAAGCAAGCAGACGACTTGCCTCCTTTAGCGTGATAACTTGTGATACGGCAGCAATCTCTTTAATAGGTATGATACCAAATAAACCACTTAACATAGTCTTATATGACCTTCAGGCATCAGAGTAAGAATCCCTTCCTCCTCTATAATTGCCAGAGCAACCTTGACATTTCATCTACAAATCCTTTTAAGTTTTGTAGTTTACTTTTCTTGATGACAGTGAGACTAACAATATTCCAGGGGCTTTGTCACTCTAGAGTTTTACATACCTCCTATGCATGCTGCTGACAAACTTAGTTTTCAAGTAAAATGCAATTCCTTTCAGTTTAGAGCAACTGCCCTACAATACCACCTCCCCATACCTCACCAAAAAAATGAAAATCAACGTTTGCAGCAGACAGAATGGTTGCCAAATTTTAACTTTGCAGTGGACAAACAGTACCCTGCTGCCAGACAGTTTTTTCCTACTACTGCTGGGGGACAGAAATAGTTTGGAAGACTAGTCAAGTCACACTGGCTACACCCAAACTTCTACCCAGCACAGATATTGTATAAGTGATGCTGTCACGGGATGCACATTGGTTGCTGTAATGTTTCAATGATGAGTCACACAACAGCTTGGAAAATCCATAAAAAACTAGCAAAGACATCGGGAGCCTGATAAGGCAGCAATAAGCAAGAAAAGGCAGATCCCAACAAAAGAGAAAATGATCACCACGATGAGACTTCTCAAAATTTATAAATAAGCTTCAATGTTTAGTTTTGTTAAATAGGTGAAATGTTTATATAAAGTGATTAAGTTCAATTTTAAAATTCGTGGTTTTCTTCCTATGCACCAAAAATTCTTCTCCTATGCTAATTAGAAAAAAACAAAGGTGTCCGTTTCTAAGGAGTTTTGTTTTTCAGCTTTAAAAAAAAAACATTTCTGCCCTTTTAAGTTACAAAGGCATGCATGGAGAGTTATATAAACGTCTACCAAGTCTCAAGAAAGTATCTGACTATTCTGAGGATCTGGACAACCGAGACACTGACAGTGAATATACAAAAAGGTATGGTACAAGCAGCAGCAAAAAGGAAACATGGGCCTGAATCATAAAGCTCCAGAGATTAATATTAGCAGTAAAGCCATTTCCTTTTCTCAGCGTGATCCCAAAGGAAACACTCTGGGTCTGAGTTTCTTGTTTCTCCCTGTGCTCAGAATGGGAAGAGAACATGCAAATTTAACAGGTACATACCAGACAGGTAAGAGACAAAAACTCCAAGGATTCAAGTACACCAGTAACAGGCCTTATTAAGCCTTTAACAACTATGGGAGGGTTGGAAATAACATGAATCTTCCTAAGCTTTCTGCTACCTTACTATGAAAGGATAAAGCACAGACTAGAAGACACTGTTAAATTTTCAGCCTTAAGACTACACAGTATACACATAACAAAAGAAGCATTTAGCATTTTTCTGCCTGCTATAAACACACTGCCTAATCAACTTTTGTTTGACCTAAGAAAATGAATCCCCAAGCATTCATGCCAAACGGCTGGGAGTAGCTCTTTCACTATTACACCACACCCATATCCATCCCACACAGGCATGCTTCCCATATATTGGTTCTAGAAAAGACTGGCACAGAAGAATTTTAAATTAATTATCTGGCATGGCTTTGTCACTGATGACTACTAGGGCAGACTAACAAGTGATACACTTGAAATTCACTGTTCTCTAAAAGCACTCTTACTGTGCCTAGTATTCACTTTGGCTAAAACCACATGAGCCTCTTCATTAAACTAATACTGGAAAATGAAGCTTGAGAAGCAACAGTTCGGCTCAACCAGTTTTGTTGAGGTGCAGAGTTAGGCAGGTATTGAGTTAGTACAAAATTTATGAGGGTCTTTAAAAAAAATAGGTACAGAACCTCAGATTCATGATGAGTATAAGAGGGACTGAGGGCAGGAAAACATTGGTGCTGAAACGCTTTTTGCTGCAGTGTAGAAGAGCCGGTTGAGAAAGGGAGACCAAGAGATAATTGTGGTAGCAGAAACAAGGAGAAAACTACTATGTCCGTAACCTTAAGAACTACAGATGAAGAAAAAGCATCAAGTTAGATTGCATCAAAACCCATCCTGAGCGTTACTGTTTGCAGAATGCACAGCAATCTTGGCTTTTTGGTATATATATTAGAAAAGCAATAAAGAACTAACATGAAAATAGCTTTACAGGGGGGGAAAAACAACACCAACAACTTTTCTATTTAAATTATTTTCTTCTTGGTACTTAAGACATCCTGGTCTGAAACCGCCTTTGCCGTTTGATCCTTAAGTGGAGTTACAATTCTGTTTGTTTCCAAGTTGCCATGAAAATTAATGCAAAGACCAACTTAGAAATGCAATTCTCCCTTGATTCCAGCAGGAAGACAAGACAAGCTGTAGGTCCACATATGGTAATTACCAAATATGGCCAAAAACCCCTAAATATCGTCAAATGGGTCTAAATTCACATGCTTCCCCATGCAGAGCGTCCACTCCAGTAAAGCAGATCCTGCATTTCTCTTACGTGCAAATACCAATTGCTCAGTTATTTATCAGTGCTGGCTAGTATGAACTTTAAAGGCAGCCAGCCTTAGTCACATGTTAAAGTGAGGTTGTCCAACAGCTAATTCTAACAGAAAAAAGTTTCTCTGGAACAGGCACAACAGAAAAGATGCTGGAGTATCTAAACCGCATTGACCAGTTTTCCACATCTCCTTGAAAGCTGTAGCATCACCCTTAGATTAACAGCTCCCTTGAGAATAATCAGTAATACTGTTACCTAGCACCAAGTTACAGCTTCCTGAAAAAATGTCTCAGCTATATTAAACAGCAACCAAGTTACAATGACAGCACCAAACTGTGAAGAGTCACCAAGCACCATCACATCACGAGGCACTGCAGTGCAATCCCACCAGTTTTAAATTAAAAAAAAAAAAAACCCCACCAAAAAACAGGGGCAGAGGGGAGGAAACTTTTTTTTTTTAAATGCCAAAGTTTTGGTGAAAATTTACTTCTCTCAGTTGCTCAAAAACTAATTTTTGCAGAGTGTCAGCCAAATTCAACCTTGACTACACAGGCGAAAGGTCAAGCACTGTCAAAAGCAATGCTGCTCATAAACTGATTATCTATAATTATTCACTACTTCTAAAATCTGAACCCTTAAAATTCATTTTGCACGTGAATCCAAACCAGAGAGTGCACTCAGGATAGAAGAAATACTGAAATCGAAGTTTGACATTTGAAACCTTTCTCAATGTCACTTTGCCTTTCACTTGACAAGGACACAGCACGCGCTAAAAATCAGGAAATGTCCGTTTCAATGATCCTTTATGTAGAAATGCCATACAGATACAAGGAGCTCGGTTAGGTTTTGAAGGCACACAGAAAGCGGAATGCACCACAAGCTGTTCCTCTGGCTTTCAGAGCCACTAGGCCTTACAGGCACCTGTAAGTGAAACACCAAGGCTGGGCCCAGACGCCCGGCACCCACAGCACCCCATCCCAAAGGCAGGCTGAGCAAGGCGGGTGTCATGCTGCAGCAAAGAGCACAACAGCTTTCTTCTGAAACTACAAAAAGAGAGAACTCAAGCTGACATTTGCAAGC